AAAATTAAAAAGCAGTGAAAAATAGGAGTTGCCCGAGAGTGGTCGTGGCCACCTCCTACCTTGCATTTTCCGTTCTCCGACTTATACACTGGTGCAAGTAGAGATACTCCTGAGGTGCACTGGTGGACAAGGTGGGCTGCACATGGTTTGACACAGAAGGTTCGAATGTGAACAAAGTTGGCTGGCTGGAGTGTGATGGGGCTGAGGATTTTCGTTCTCGCAGCAGGTGATGACTGGAGCTGCTGAGCTCAGCTGGAGAAGAGCGGGGCCCCTGACTGGCTGAGGAAATGTTTCTCAGGGAGTCTGTGAAAAGGAGAAAGAATTCTGTGAGTGAAGAAGGCAGAAAAGGTATCCTTATCCTAAAGATGGCTCTCAGAAGAAGGAAAAATATAAAGATCAGAAGAACTAATCTAGCTGTAGCATTCTTTCCTTCATATACCTGCTCCCTCTCACCTCCCAAAGAGCAGGGCTGGGGCTTCTGGGACATCTTTTTTTGGGGGAGGTACCCCAGCTCTATTTTGTATTTGAGGGGAAACAGGGTCTCACTGAGTTGCTTAGCACCTAGCTTTTTGCTGAGGCTGTCTTTGAACTTCTGCCTCAGCCTCCCCAGCTGCAGGGATTATAGGTATGTACGACCACGCCCAGCCTGGGCCATCTTGGTAGAGGTGCTCTGTAACTTTGTACTGCTCTTGAAGGACACTGCCTGTCACAACCTGGGGCTGATCTGCTCTAGCTCAAGAAGTATGGCTACCTGTGGTCCAGAAGTCAGGTAAGGTTAGCCTCTGGAGCATAGTAACACAGCCCTCCTCCTCAGTGGTTGCTCCAGCTGTGGTCACCGCCCTAAAAGCTATGCTGGCTTTGTTAAATGAGGCACTGCTTGCAGAAGATTCATTAACTGAGACCCAGGACTGTGTCTTACTATATTAATAATAAAAGCACAAATGTACTTGCAACTGTTCCTTTAGATTGAACCCCAGTTCCTGCTGCCTGCTCATGCAAGTCCTCTGAGGGCTGTTAAGTTTCCCACTCCCCACCGCTCTCCGTCCATTGGTCTTTCTTCCTCTCTTATCTCAAATTCTCCTTTTTTTTGTGTTAGAAAGGAAGTGAGGTATTAAGGACAGATAATAGTCTAGAGTTCTATACTTCAAGCCAAAGGTATTATTCATGTGGCTGGCTAAGCTTAGTCTAAATTCCTTAGCATAACATACAAGGCCTTTCAGAGTCTGACCTATTTCCTGCTTTTCTCCACCCATAAACAAGTCATATGGAAGCATCATCAGTCCCTGAACACACCAGCTTCTTGTAATTCTTTGTTTTGGCTTATGCTGTTTCTTCCACCTGAATTTCACTTTGACTTTCCTGGAAAATGCATATGCAGATGTTAAGACCCTGTACAGACATCACAATCTCTCTGAAACTTTCCTGGACTAGTTTTTCTTCTGGATGCCAACAGTACTTTGTTTATGCTTTCACTATATCCATGATCACTCTGTTTCCTTGTCTAGCCCATGGGTTTTTATGAGCTATGATCATGATATTACCTCCATAGCTTTAGCATTTGCCTAACAGAGGTCCTACCTAGAAGGTTTTTAGTCCATGATTGCAGAATAAACAAAAACAACCATTAAGCATTCAAAATTTTCAATAGTGAAACTTTCATTCTAATGGAATATAGGTTTAAAGATAGAAGTTCAAGTGATATGCTAGCTGGTGGTGGTGATGATGGTGACCTTCTAGTGTTATTCAAATCATACCAGAGGTGAAACAGATCTCTATCTGCTCCTGGTTACCTGATCTATTTCTGGCTGTGCACTTCCATTGCCCTAGGCAGGACCATCAGCTTATAAATGCCCCACCATTCTCATTTCTCTCCAGTCATTTCTGATGCTGGGAAGGACATCTTTGCTAGTCTACAGAGAAAAAGCCAGTGGGCCTCTGGGGAAACTGTTCCACTAACAGCTGTACTGACCTCCAAATGAATTCCCATTATAGGTCACATAGTGACCCAGACGTTTGTTAACAAAATCAATAGCTTTATTACTCCATTAGGTTTGCAAGATGAACTCTCTAATAGGAGGGAGAGGGTTTATGCTAGGGGACATGGTAGCCATGGTGCCAGGGGAGGAATGAAAAGAAAGCCTCAGGTGAGGTCCTACATGCTCTGTGGTCTTTCTGCCGACCCCCACACCTCAGGATTCAGCTCTAGCCCCTCTTATAGCCTCATTCTAACCCTGGAGCCTCTGCAGGGACATTCCTATCTATTCCCAAGCTCAGTCACTACTAATGTGATGACAACTCTCAAACTTTATCTCTAGTTCGATTCTTCCAGGGTTCCCTGTCATAATATCCCTCCACCTGCTGGGCGTCTCCATTCAGATGTCCCACAGGCAGACAGGCTCAGCAGTCTAAACGAACTCAACGAGTCTGTATCCCTTCTTAGTGAAACACATCATCATGTCAGTTCTTCAAGCCCAGAGCCCAGGTGACTTCTAGGCCTTTGCCTTCTTCAACAACCACCTCATGGCCATGCCACTGCCCTACTGAAACATCTTCATTGGCTTCCTGTTATCCTTAAGGTGATGTACAAAGTTCTTTCTCTCTAAAACCATTATCCTGTGTATTTCTTCAACTTTGTTGCTTACCAGTGCTTCCTTATCCTTCAGAGGAATTCTAGGAACATAGGAACCTCTCTCTTACCACTCTGTACATTCGGCTGTGAATTTAGTGAAGGCAGATTTTTTCTTTTGTGATGATTTTCTCCCCAATATCAAGCCCAATGTGTGACATAACTCATTGAAATCTGTTGATCAAACAAACTCTAATGCATAACTAGTCTCTCAGAAATATTCACTGACTTCAGAATAAAGGACAGTGTGTCACAACCTGCTTATTCTGTATCTGAATGTCCATAACAGCTTTATTCATGATAGCCAAAAAGTCTATTAAATGATGAATGCTAAACAAAATGCAATTCATCCATACAGTGTACTTATGTAGCCCTATAAACAAATGAAACAAATGAAATGATCTTCAAAATAGTGTGCTAAGCGAAAGAAGCTAGTCACAGAAGACCACAGATTGCATGAGTTAATGTATGTGAAATGTTTGGAACAGGTAAATCCAGACAGACAGAAAGTAACTTAGTTATTGCCTGGAAATGAGCATGGGGTAGTGGAAATAGAGAGTAACTGCTAATGATTATGAGTCTCCTTTCCAGGGTGATGAAAAACTTGTAAAAGTAGATTTTGGTGGTGGTTGCAAAACCCTGTGAATATACTAAAATCACTGAACTCAACACTTTATTTTTTTGGTACCAGGAACTTAACCATTGAGACACATCTCTAGCCCTTTTTATTTTATTTTTTTTAAATTTTAAGATAAGGTGTCTCACTAAGTTGCTTAGGATCTTGCTAAGTTGCTGAGGCTGGCCTTAAACTTGAAATCCTCTGGCCTCAGCCTCCCAAGTCACTGGGATTACAGGTATGTGCCATAATGCCTAGCTAAACTATATACTTTAAATGGGTGAGTTTTATATTATGTGAACAATATATCAGAGCTATAAACACACAGTTTGATGATTCTTCCTGATAAAGTTAAATTATCACATGACCTAGCAGTTTCATTCAGAGGTATATATCCTTGAGAAATGTAAATATATGTCCACATACACACACAAAAATGCACACAGGGGCTGGGATTGGGGCTCAGTGGTAGAGCACTTGCCTAGCATGTTGTGAAACATTGGGTTTGATCCTCAGTACCACATAAAAATAAATAAAATAAAGGTCCTTTGACAGCTAAAAAATATTTTTTAAAAACTGCACACAAATGTTTACAGGATTATCCATAATAGCCAAAAAGTAGAAACAATCCAAATATCTATCAACTAATCAATCAATAAAATGTGGGGTATCCTTGTATGATGGACTGTGGAATATATAGAGAGCAGTAGAAAGAATAAAACAAGTTACAACACATATTAATCTTGAAAACATTATGCTAAGGGGAAAGAAGCCAGATTCTATCACAGAAAATGTTTATAATTATGAAATATAGAGACAAAATGTAGATTAGTGGTTTCTTAGGGCTGGGGTAAGGATGAGAGAGTAGGAAATAACTGCCAATCAGCATAGGGTTTCTTGTTGGGGTAACAAACATGTTCTATCCTCAGCAAAAAATGGATAAGAAAAACGTGGTAGGTATACACAATCAAGTTCTATTCAGCAATAAAGAAAAATGAAATAATGTCCTCTGCAGATAAATAGATGTAACTAGAGAATATCATGCTAAGTGAAATATGCCAGACTCAGAAATTCAAGGGTCAAATGTTTTCCTCATATATAGAAGCTAGAGGGAGAATAAAAGAAATTTTAAAAAAAGTCAGAGGGATCTCTTGAAAATAGAAGGGAGATCACTAGAGGAAAGGTAGAGGATCCAAGGGGAGAAAGGCATGGAAAGGGGAAGAGCCGGGGAATAAAATAGACTAAATTATGCTACATGCATGTGTAACTATGCCACAATAAATCCCACTTTTGTGGAATAATTATAATGCACTAATGAAAAATAAATACATGTAAACAAAGAAAAGGAAGACTAGAAGAGTAGAGGAAAGGAACAGGGGGAAGGACTGAAAGAGAAAGGGGAATAAATAAGAATAAATTATGTGCATATATGAATGTCACAATGAACCCAACTATTATGTCAAATTATAATGCACTAATAAAACATTAAAAAGTCCTAAAACTTTGCTGGATACAGTGGTGCATGCCTGTAATCCCAGATGACTTGGGAGACTGAGGCAGGACTGCAAGTTTGAGGATCGTTTCAATAACTTAGTGAGACTTTGTTTCAAAATTTTAAAAAGGGAAAGGGATGTAGCTCAGTGGTTAAAAACACTCCTGGGTTTGATCCCTGGTACCCAAAAAAAAAAAAAAAAGTTCTAAAACTAGATTGTGTGATGGTTGCATAATCCTATGACCAAAAATCATTGACATGTACACATACATACAAGCCCTTTACAAACTATCAAGTGTTAAACATATGCAAGACATTAATAAAATATACCTGGGATTTACTTTTTCTTTTTTTTTCCCTTTTGGGGTGAAAAGTGAACACTCAGGATATACAAAATCCTTGCTAAAGCATTATACACTGGAGTAAGTGTTTCCTTTCCTAGACCTCCTCCACCCTCCTCCACCCTCCTCCACCTTCACTGTTCAGGCCTTCACCCCACAATCCCAACAGGGTAGTGTGAATTTCAGTAAAACAAAAGAGCAAGAACACATGTTTTAGAGTCAAAAGAC